AAATATATATTTTATTTGGAAATGTAATGCTTCTAGATAAATTATAATAAATTATCTCACTACTGTTCACTTTATATGAAAATATTGAAATGTAAGCTTGGTGGTTTTAAGATTGTTAGCTTTTAGGAATACATTTAAAGCTATATACAACAACATGGCAATATTTTAAGAAATTTATCAGATTATTTTTAAATATTAAATTTTTTTAAATAAATAATTTGTAATTACTTTTAATTAATAAATAAAATTGTTTCTAAATATTGATAAAGAAAACAATAAATATCAGTTCAATTTAAGGTTTAAATATTTTAAATTTTATATATTTTTAATGTGATGATGACATTCAAATTAGAAAAATTGCTATTATATTTGTATCATTCTGTTAAAAATATTTGATAAATATTAATTTTTTCATGTAATTCAAAATTTTCTACAGTTATAAAATATACAATATATTTTTGTACTTTATATAACTTTGTATGAATTAAATACAAACGTTTTGATTCTTTAAACACACAATTATATGTATATGTTGCTTAGAAAACTTAAATAATATATGATTTCATTGTAATTAAAAAATGTTTTATAAATATATAATCTTAGAGGCTATTACTGTATTATTATAATTATTATTATATGAATTAATAATTGTACCTCAATTAGTTTTCAACATTAATTTTAGAATATTCATTTAAACTTTTTCATATGATATGTAATATTTAAGCACCTCACTTTTAGTGATGTACAAATGTTGTTAACTGTGCAGTTTGTAATTATTTTTATGTGCAGTTGATATAACTAAAAGTTATGTATTTATAATGTTAAATGAAAGCAATGTTTTATTTTACACAATGTATATAATGTTAATAAAAAGTATTGAACTGAACTATGCTTCTAGATAGTATTTTTAATAAAGAATTTAAAAATATTACAGTATCTTATTGATATAATCGAGATGGGTTGATGATGATGATGATAATAATAGTAATAATAATAATCAGTGGCGTGCCGTGACATTTGATGTTAGGGAAGTTGTGTTTCTGTAAGAAGCCGACATTCAGGGGCAATCAGTCAATTGCGCGTCATTGATGGTCTAGGCCTCTAGGGTCCATTCGTATCATTTATTCGATAAGCCAGTAAAAATCGTAGACTACTCTAAATGCATTTTTAATATCACAATAACATTTCTAATTAACTCCTGTCAACTATACAGAAATATCATAAAAACACACCAGTAAATTCTTATCGGTTGGGTTAAGTTATAAATCTACTCATGATTCACGTAATCGGGCGAGAGCGGCCAAATATNTACAGATATATTCACCTACTGTGTTTAGAACAAGAATTGCCATGTCTAAGAAAATGTTCTCAATTAGCGCCATTGCTAAGCAACATCAAAATTTTATTGACTTTCTCAAGTAGAATGAAATTTAAAATAGTTGAAATTAATTATTATAATTTTAAAGAATTTAGATCAATTATAATATCAAGTGTTTTCTAAGTTTTTTTACGTAATTAGTTAAATATAAATGCTAGATACTTATTTGAAAAATAATATAGGCTAAATATAATGTTTTATTCTATTTTAATACAGGTCCATATCTGCTCGAGTATTAAGTTGCATCTGGTGGGCATTCACACTAACAATAATTTCACTCTATATAGCAAATGCTGCAACAATACTGGTTGCTCATAGATTAGGAGCTGAAAATAGTGCCAACACTGCTGCACTTACCACTAGGGGTATTCAGAGTGTATTAGAGGTATTTTTTTCTTATATTTTTCAAATTTCCTCGTTAAATTTAATAATTATTCATACAGAGTATATTTATTCCATATTCATTCTAGCATACGTAAAGAACAGGAATAAATATAAAAATGAGTGAATGTTACTTAGTAGCAATAAAATATAATTTATAAATATGATTAATTTTTATTAATTTGAAAATATTTTAATCATAAGCATTACAATTAATATCACTACTTTGATGAAAGTTACTACTAGTATTTTTAGTCTTTATCATATTTCAAAGCAAAAAGAAAATGCTACAGGATAACTATAATTAAAGCGCTCTTGTTCTTATTCAAAGCTATATTGTTCTTATTTAAACTATGAGACCCGACTGTGTTGGGCTTCGTCCCTCACCATCTGAGTAGTCCTGAAAAAAAAATCCGTTTTAGTGCACACAGTGTGAAAACAGACAACTGGTTGGTCGAGCGGTTAACATGTCAACCTATTCACTCCCTGGAGATTCCGGGAATGAATCAAGACTGATCGAAAATCTTCAGAAATTTCTCAGAGAATGGTCCATCCCGGATTTATCGGTCCACGTTCCTTATCAGCCGGTCGCCTCATTGCGGGTCTGGTCGAATCCACGATGGGCTTGATTAATTAAAAGACCCTCTTAGTGCTAACAATAAAAAAGACAGAGAGACAAAAATGAAATGATATTTGCTAATGTACAATAATTAAACGTAAAACACAATATTTTAATAAACGAATGTTTAAATGTGGACATGCTGTTTGGTAAAACTGATTGGATTATTTATAAATCAGAAACGGTTAACAAAGCGCGTATATTTTTTATTCTACTTATGCATGTTAGTAATGAGAAACAAACTCTCACCTATTTAGTAATGTGATGTGAAGTGATGACGCCATAAAGTCACATTTCAACAATTTCTTGGATAGCAAGAATGAAAATCCACACACTTTTAATAGGCGAGAAACCAAAACTGAATAATAACGATTCCGCAAGTTAATGACAAGCTTGTGAAGTATTAACTAACTCAATGATAGTTTGTAACATATCTTTGAGAAATAATCCTGGAGGGTCCTACTTTGGTGTTTTTCTTCTAATTTTTATTAAATAAAGAATTTATTAAATTTCTTAAAATTATCAAATTATGACAAATAATTAAAATTTTTAGGATGCAATTAATTCAGGAATTCCAGAACTGGGCTGTGTAAAAGGTGGCTCCACTGAAGACTTTTTTAAGGTACATGTGTACTATATTTTTAATAATTCTATTTATAAGGTAAATCAAGAACTTGCAATAAATGTTCATGTTTTGAAATTTACGATGATAATGGTAGGCCCATGTAAAACTGAAAATAATTGCCAAGAAAGCCAAAAACAAAAAAAAATGTTTTGACTTTCTTATGTGAAAGTCAATAATACTTAATCATAAATTTATTTATTTAATTTCTTTTTGTTAGAATTCTCAGATGACACTCTACAAGAAAGTATATGATAGTTTTCAGAGAAAGCCCGAAAATTTATTTAGTTCAACTGCAGATGGAGTGAAAAAACTGCGTGAAAGTAATGGAAAATATGCAATTTTTGTAGAATCAACATTTAATGAATACACAAGTCATCGTGAGCCTTGTGATACTATGATGGTTCCAGGAACTCTTGACACAAAAAGTTATGCAGTTGCTTCTATGTTCAATTCAAGCATATCGTGAGTATAATCATTCTATAGTTATAAATAAAAAATTTTAAATAAACTATTTATTTTGTGTAAATAATTTTTTTCTAAAATATACTTATAATATAGTCTAATAGTTGTTTTAAAAGTAATATTCCTTTCAATTGAAATATATGTAACAATCCTCAAACATCTATTAGTCATATACGTAGAAGTTTCAAGGAAATTGATATTTAAAACAAATTAATTATTGATTCACAGGGCTGTCGAAAATAGTAGGGTGGCCAAGTGGTTAGAATGGCAGTCTACCTTTCTGAGGAAACCAGGAATCGAAAAACCCCAGGATTTTTTGGGATTTTTCGACCCGTCCGGATTCGACCTATACTGAGCTTTCTAAAAAAAGGGGGCCTTCTTAATGCCATAGGGCAAAAAGAATTTAAAAGAAAAGGGCTGTCGAAAAGGAGAGCAAGGGATTTTTCCCCGGCTTCACTCTGTTGATCAATATTTATATAAATACAATTTTATTATGAAAATTCAAAAATATATTAGCAAAGTTTACTATTAAGTTTAACTTGTTCGTAAACTCGAACAAGTTAAACGAATTATTAACGGTTATGAAGTAAGTTATTAATTCCACTCATTGCGTATGCTCGTTGAGGACGTTTTAAACGAAACTCTAAGGAAATTCACGAAGGAAAAGAGCGTTATGCCTTAAAGAAAATGGTGGCCGGCAATATTGATGTTTCTGCTCTCAGGTATATAAATTATAGAATAAAAGGTTAAATGATACAAATAACTGTCCACATTAATTAAGTAATCTAAGAAAAATATTTCGGATAAGAATGAACTAGCAACATTACAACTTCAATTTCGGAAACAGCCATTTTTTTTTCTTTTTTGGTAAACAAATCGGTCACAATGTCGGACGAAAGAAAGAATAACTGTGATATTATTCTCATTTAACTCGTTTGACTTTACGAATACACTCCATATGACAACGAGCAAAAACTAAAAAATTAAACAAAAGAAATAACTTATAACTCATTTTTGATCAATTGCCATACTTTCCCTGTTATATCAATATATAACAGCTGGATTTATTTCAGTAAGATTAAATTGATGGTATCAAAACTACTATTAAAATTACATAATTTACAGTTGGAAATCATACATGACTTATAATTCTAGGAATGACAGAATTAATGAAGCTCTTCATAAACTCCATGAGACTGGCTATCTGAATGAGTTATATGATAAATGGTGGCTTCGTACAAGTGAATGTGCTCGAAGATACTCAAGATCCTTGGAGGTAGTTTTTTTAAATTATAATATATTAAAATCCAAAATTAATAATTGTTATACTCGTATATCTAATTTGTATATATCTATATTGAAATTATAGAGGAGAAGGTGGTATTATGGAACCCCAATTACATTTTAGTGAATTGTAAACAAGGTATCATAACTAC